TCAACAAATTTTGTCTTATAAATTCTACTGTCCAAATGCTTTTGCACTTTCTTAAAAACATCAAAAGGAAGGCAATGAAAATGTCTTTGTTCTAAAATTCTGAATTGAATCCATGCAAGTAGTTGAGAGAGAAGTAACTTTCAAGGTCATGCTTAATTATCTAAATGAACTTTCTGTGATGTTAACTTTATATTTTAAAGTTTGATCTCATAAGAAAGTCAGAATAATTACTGTTTTGTGTCTCATCCCTGCATGATATACTTTTAAATTTTAAGAAGAGTTAGAAGGATAAGAATTGAGTGAAAATTTAGGAGCAATTAACAAAGGGAAATAAATATTTATGGTCACAAAAATTACAAGCATAATATGTTACAATAATTCTCTTACCTAAATTTATCTGAGAATATCCCTTTGAAGTGTTTTCTTTTCTTTATGGTAAGGGTGTCAGGACTGAAAATATATATTTACCTTGCTCTCTAAAGTATTTGGGATCAAGACAATTAAAAAAACCCAGAGACTATTTCAAGTCAATGCTAATAATTATGCTCCTTACACTGTCCAGTTGAAGTTTTCCATCATATTCTGAAGGGATCATCCAGCACTGACATCATGTTTTTCCCTGGAGCTCGTGAATCCTAACCATTTGAAATTAATTAGAAATGTCCTATGAGACAATGTGGTGAAAGTAAATGCCCTTCACTAAAGTATGTTTGATGATCATCTTACTGATTTGAATAGAGCTGACATAACTTTTATAATTCTCCTCACAATTCTTTGCATACAATATAAAACTACCTGCAATACAAAAATGTACCCTGATTACTGCCCATTTCCTCATCATCTCCTTATTTAGAGAAGATGTCTAGTTCTTTTCTTCTCTTCATCTTCCTACTGAGCCTCTATTACCATTGTGTAGGTGTTTCTGAACTGTTGTTGGGTCTTTCTGGCTTAACACTTAATCCTATTATTCATCACTCTAAACTGCTGCTGAAGCTCTGAAGCATGTGACATCAAAGAACTTCCAGGGAGGATGAAGTGTGATGACTACAACTGGCCACATCAAACCCAAAATATTTAATAGAAATAGTCCAAATTCTCTTTAGTAAATAAGCAACCCACTGCCTCCCAAACACTGATTCATGTTGACTTTCAAACTCAAGAACAGGGGCTGAATCAAGCCAGCCTGTCTCTGTCTCAACATGTCATTGTGATAGTGGTATAAAAACAGTAGAATGGCAATATTTACTGGTTCTTTACGAATTTACATTTTGCAAAATGGAAATTTTTATTATAAAATTTAATTTTAGGCACAATATTTCAAAGGAACACTGAGTATAGAGAAGATTTGCAAGGCATAAATATATAACATGACAATTAAAATAAGCCAGGCATGGGTGGTGCATCCTGTAATCCCAGTGGCTCAAGAAACTGAGACAGGAGGATGTAAATTCAAATACAGTCTCAGCAATGGTGAGGTGCTAAG